TCTTAAAATGTACATAAGTTACCTCATCATCATCCTTATCCCATAACAGATAATATTTCGGTTTATCTTCTTCTGTTTTCTTGGGTTTGATCCAGCCATTTCTGATTGCTCTCACTATTTTCATTACCTTTAAAGCAAAGTATACAAAAATTATCATTCAAACTCAACCTGAAAAACTTGGATTGCTGTCTGTGGTCAGCAACAGGCAACCCAAAAGGTCTGTGGAAAGTGTGTTTATTTGAAACAATTTTATTGGGTGGATGAATGGATGGATAGATGGGTAGATTACTGGATGGATGGATGGATGAATGGATGGGTGGATGGATGGGTAGGTGGGTAGATTTCTGGATGGATGGATGGGTGGATGGATGGATGGATGGATGGATGGGTGAGTAGATTAATGGGTGGATGGTTGGATGCACGGATAGATGGATGGGTAGATAGTTGGATAGGTAGATTAATGGGTGCAAACCTAGGAAAATGCTAAGAGAATTATTTTACAGTGTCCTTTTTGCAAATCCATCAGAAATTTAACAGAACTAGATAAATGAAGGTGTGCACAACAATTGTTAACAAGGGTTTTGGCACTCACTCTTTTGTGTTCCCATTTTGAAGGTACAAATCTAGATTTTGGYTCAGGAGCATTTGATAATGGATGGATCATCTTGTCTCCAGTGAAGAAGTCTACATAAGGCTAAAGATGAAACACATGTTAGAATAACCATTATATAAACTAAACATTATTGATGTGGTGAAAAAAAATATATGCATTTCAACCAGGATTCAAATATCCAAAGGGCAGCAACAGGCTCTGGGTAGGTTTTGGCCTGGTTTTTGAGAAACATAGGGTTGGGGTCATTCCTTTTCATGCTTCCTGGAAATAGGAGTACAATATAAGGGCCAGGAAGGGTCTGGGTAGGCTTTGGCCCAGTTTCTCCTTGTTTGAGATAGAGTTGGAGTCTAGCAATACTCCTTTCATAGTACATGTAGGTGCAGAGTCAAGCAAGTCTCCCCTTGTGCAAGAACATTTTTTGCTTCCTGTAAAGAAGATTGAAATATCTAAGGGGTAGAAGGGTATGGGTCAGTTTTGGCCTAGTTTCTTCTTGTGAAATATGTTTGAAGAAGGTGCAGAGTCTACACTGTAGCATTCTTCCTGTTATGCAAGATATACATGCATATTCCCTGCAACTAAAAGGCAAAAGAAGGAAAATCATACTTACCTCATAAGGGTCATATCCTTGGTCAGGAAATTGTAAATTCTGTATTCTGTCTATGATAGCAAGGTCTTCATCAGAAAGCACCACTTCCTTCATGGTTGTTTTATCACGAACGGTTCTCCTGTGTCATAAAAAATGTATACGAACTTTAAAATAAGAGTAATAATAAAATGTACAGATATGACCTTGTCGATAAACCTCTCTCTACCAGGCAATTTTACTTATTGATTAACCTTTCTTAATTGTTTATTGGCCGTATTAAATTTTTGTTGCCAGTGTCACTTAATATCTCTCTTACTGTGTGGATACACTAACCAGGACCACTTGAATAAAACTGATCAATCAGGTAACAGTAAACTAGACAAAAATTGAACTGATAACAGCGTTAGCCAATCAGAATATCAAATTCTTACACTCTTATTCTAAAAAAAAATCTACCACTCCTGGGTGGATGGCTTAATGCCTAACAGGCATTGCGACCCAATTAATAAGGCAGCCAGTGGATCGAATTAGATTGAATGTTAAGTTGCAATATGATTGGTTATAATGATACTAGTTTGTAAAGTGTTCCGAGTTGAAGTATCTGCACAGTAATACGACCATGTGAAAAAAATAATAGACTGCAAGCAGTGCCACTCCAGAATCACAGACAAGCAGAGGTTGGAGCCGAGTAGGCAGGGAAAGTGGAGAGGAAAAGTAAAGGAATGCTTCCAATTTCTTTTTTAGTACCCAAACTTGGCCACTAAGATATTTTTACTTCTTCTGTAGGTTCTACTTAGCCCCCTCACTTCCATCATATTTAGCAATTATTCGCCAAAGGCGAAGTGAATAACGGGGAGTATTTACCAAGTCACAAGTCTTCAAGCAGCAAGGTAAGTATTCTCCATATTTACTGAGCCTGAGGCAAATAATTATTTTAGCATATACCAACTTGTGTACAGAGAACTTATTTTTATATACAATAATTCAATAAAAACAAACAAACAGAAACTTTTAGTTTGTGTGACAAATTCACGCAAAACTTTTAGCAAAACTTTTAGGCCATAATACTTCAATGCCTTTTTTTAGTATTGATAGGAATGGCATTTACTTTCATTTTTTAAATTTCCTTATCAGAAATTGTAGCAAAACAATTGCCAGCAGATGCCATTTTGTTGCTGGCTCAATATTCCAAGATTCAGAGGTGAATATCGTACAATATTTACCTCCAATTAACCAATGAGCGTGCACGTTTTTAAGAAGTACACAAGTTGGTATATGCTAAATTGTAGTATACTTCTGTTAGTACCAGATACACTAGTTATGATTACAAGATTCCCAATTAATTACTTACCAATAATTARGGTCATCCATCTTGGACAAGAATTCATCAAGCTAAACACATGATAATCATGTTTCATTATTTTTATCTAGAGAATACCAATGTTTTGGCTTCAAGATTTTTTTGGCAAGCTCTTCATGTACAAATGCAAAAGTGCAGTAGAGTGCAAACCATATTAATGTGAAATAATTACACAAAAACTAAACACATGCATTTCCTTTGTTTCTGTTTTTTTTCTCAATTGCTTGTTGCTTGAGGCTTTTGGTGCGACAACAATATTTGAAATAAGTGTATACATACACTTTATGACATACATGTATACCCCAACATATCCCATCAGGCATCTGTATTTTTTAGTTCAGACATTTGTTCGTTCACGATTGTGGCACAAGAAAGCACTGCATAACTGTTCCATACTATTCAAAATAACAAGGTGACAATGGGAAGAAACCATGGAATACTTATGATTTCAAAAGCAGTTTTACTGCATTCTGATTGATACTATTTCCAATGGTGTTTGATAAAAACTGTCATGTTATTCATTCAGTATTCATGCTGCAAATGCTTACAATGTAAAACAAACTGCTTACCTCATCAGCTGTTGCAGGTTTCAATATCTTCTTGCCGTCCAGGCTGTACCCAATATGAGGATACTCATTGTACCATTCAATTGGAATATTACCAACTGTATTCCTTGCATCCTAAAGCATTACAGATATTACATTACGAACATTTTAAAGAAATYGTGGATCAATCGCACACTAGGTCAAAAATTATTGCTGATCATTGTGGATCAATATTTACCCAAGCTAAGTATTTTCCACTGAGTTTCAGTGTGAGGGGTGGCGGGGGTAGACTCTGCCATGGTTTCCATGGTTACCTCCTTGAGGGCCTTGGGCTAGTGAGGTCATTCCTTCTCGTTGGCCCCAACCCCAAGCTCATCTATTTGTGATGAATTTTAATTCTGGCTTAATGTTACTGGTGTAAAAATGTTATGGGACAAGAGCCAATCCTGGGTGGACATTGTCCTATGTAGTCTGCATGTATACAGTCAGTTCAATAAACGTTGTCGTTGACCGGCTTAAGCCTATGCAACTGGACCGAAAGGAATATGGGTAAAAATCACTTAAGCGGTTAAATATTCGTTCTTAATCGTTCTGAATTAATTGTTCTCGCTAGTAATAAGATAATAATGGGGAGAAATAATCCATCAAATGCAAGTCTTTGGGGTTAGGGAAAGAAAAACAAAGTAGTTGTGGTGATTCAGTTCACAATTTCGAAAATATGAAGGCATTAAAAAAACCTCTCCTTCAACACTTCCCGCTCGCCTAAGAAGGTTTGTGCTGTAAACCAGGCATAACTAGTCAGATAAAATTATGGAGTCAACTCGGCTTCAATGATTGCTACCCAGAGTTCCTTTCGGTCCAGTCGCGTAGGCTTGAGTCAGTCAAYGACAACATTTTTTGAATTGACTGCATTATATTACCTCTTCATCAGAAGTCTCAGCATCCTCTTCTGTAATATTACTGGAAACTTTGGATTTGTTTTGTGCATTCTTTGCTTTAACTACATCTGTTTTGTTATTATTTTCTTGGTTCTTTGTCTCTTCTTCACCTAACTCTTTCTCATCTTCACTTTCTTCCTCATCTTCCTCTTCCTCATCATCATCCTCATCAACATCATCATCTTCACTTTCTTCATCATCCTATTAGCAGAAATTATGTAAATGCAATAAGTTAAATAAGGAGGTTCTCAATCTTTATTATTCAATGATAAGAATTACATTGTCTACATGGTTAATTAATAAACTGTCTCCATACATGTACTCATTAGAGAACTTAAGATTTTCAAAATCTTTGACAGCAATGCCAACCAGAATTGTAAATAATTTCTTTTAGTATTTTATTTTTTATCATTCCATTCAAAACCGAGTCAGTAGAGTCAACTCATGCACAGGGAAGACAGACTTTGAATGCACAAAACCCCCAAGTGAAGATATTTACACTTCTGGTTGATGATGCTGTCATAGATTTTGCAAATCTTACACTGTAACTACTGAAACCAGGCCTAGAGCTACTTATTCAGTGAGAACCAATCAAAATGTAGAATGAAAACTATACATTCCAACTTTGGGTAGTAGAGCCAATCAGAAACCAGCATATCCTTTAATATCCTTTAATGCTGGTTATCTAGTTGTTTACATGAAACAGCAGAAAATAAACTAGTTTCACAAAGCTTTTTACAGTGATTCAATTTATCCACAAGTTCCTGCTGTTTTATTCAGAAACACCGACACAGTCCMCGCTAGTGCTCTACTAGTTATCATGTAACATCAGGGTCAAATTACCATTCTTGTACAGCCCAGGTTTTTCATTAGCTCCACTACCCAAARTTGAAATACATTGATTTTATTCTACATTTTGAGGGGTTAGCTACGTAAGTGGCTCCGCTTATAATAGTTGCACTGTTCCCAAAATACAAACAAACTGGAAAACTGTTTAGAAAATAAATGCAAGTCATTATCTATTTTCCTTCCAAATAACAACCCTGCACAAAGTATAAGAATTCGAAATCACCTAATCTCGAACTCCTTTTACGATAATGGAAAGCCTTAAGTTTAAAAAAAAAAAACGAGACATAATAAGAATTGACTTACAGAATCTGGGACATCTTTTTCATCTTCGGAAGAGCTTTCCTCGTCTTCTAGGTCAGAGTAGTAGCTCTCCTCGCTATCAGATGAATCCTCATCATTAACTTGTCCTTCATCAGCTGTTTTGTTTTTGTTGTCTTTGATTTTGAACAAATCTAAAGATTTCTTTCAGGTAACAAGATATAGATCAGTACCTCTACTAGTCAGAACACTAGCTGCACTTCTACTAGGATGAATATTTTAGCGAAAGAACTTAAAATAATTTTAAGGAACTTTATTCCAACTTACTTCAGTTTCTTGATGTAGTTTTTTGTCGTCCTCGTTCAAGACTCGTTTCGGCATTTTAACACGATAAATGAAGACCAAAAGCAATTTTTAGAACATATACATGGAATATCGTATACTATGTATCTTATATGTCCTAAAGTTTTTAAATTAAGCTAAAAAATCCAGAGAAAATACAAGAATAACGAAGAAAACCAAAGAAAATATGGTCACGTTGATCCGCCATGTGCAATCGCTTGACCTAGTACTCTTGGCCGTGCTTATTAGGTAACCCGCTGATCGCTGTAATCGAGGGCTCATATTATGCAAAATGAAATAAAGAACTGGACAAAATGGGATAAATATAGGTGAAATGACGACAAGAAAGTTTTTATTATCATATAACATGAATCATTACTGTCTTATTAAATAAAAACCTCATTAGCACGTGCTTATAAAAATGTAAAAACGTGTAATTAACTGGAAATTGGCCGTTCCAATTAAATTTTTTAGTCAAAACGTTTCATCACTGTGTGATCAATGGTCGCAATGTTAATATATTCATTCAGCTCCTAACTGTGGATCAGTCTGTCATATATTCAGTAGTTCAGATTGAACTTTTACTTCATTCCCATGCATCTTTGCGCGCCCATGCGCGTTAATTCGGATTAGGAAATAAACAGAAATGAAAGGGAGTCCAGTTCTGGACTAACATTTACATTTACATTTACCAAATTACAAGCACGCCCTCTCTCCGAGGCTTAAGTGCTCGGGTAGGTCAGGATCAAAGTTAGTGGTCTAATCTACACTAACTTTGATCCTGACCTACCCGAGCACTATTTAATGGTCATGATATGAAGTCTGATTTGTTGATACCAAGGTTTTTTTTACCTTACGCATAGATCTAATCAGGTCTAGCGTCTTTCCATTTATTATTGCATCCACCCAATCACCAAGCATTGCTGCCTTGCCGGCAAACAAGGAAAAAGACAGGATTTTTCTGAAATGGGAACACAATACGTTCGAGTGGCTGAGGTCGTATGTCGCATGTCGCATGTCGCATGTCGCTTGCGTTAGCTAGCGTAAAAGTAAGGATTTCAAATCGAATACGATTTGCGCACTTACTTACAAACACAACAACGATTTAACTGAGAAATTATTTATTAACTAGTAGAAAAGAACTATAAAAATCTTTTAGATCAAGACAGTTAATACCAATACACACTTTTAATTCAGTATTGCATCTTATCCTTACGAGAAAATGCACGACTTTACAAATGTACATGTTAAACTATTTCAACTTTGAGAGAGTTTGCTTTGATGTGAAAGACGAACAGTTCATGATTACGAAACGATCACACGTTTTTAATGGAGAATGTTTTGATAAATTTGCAGTATTCCTTGGAAGCGGAGTTTGAGCAACGACATCGTACAAGCCGTTTTTACTAACAAATTGCTTCTTATTGTTGTCGTCATTTCTTTTCCTCTTTCACATCGACAAACTAACATCAGCGCAAGCAAGAGCACAAGCGTAACAATCAAAGATGTYTTGACCCTTACGCGAAGTTAAAGTAACCCTGATAGTATGAACAAGTATTTTTTTATCATTTTCTTAATTAGATATCTAATGCAATTACCACTCCTGGATGGACGGCGTGATTGATAGATAAGYCGATAGGTAGATGTCATAGACATTTTCTGAGATTGCCAACATGGTGCATTGTGGTCTTGCTTTAGTACAAACATCTTTATATGGAGTTGTTCTTACCAACGCTAGACAACAATGCACCCTGTTTATCGAACTAAAAAAGTCTTGTGAGCAATAGTTTGTTTTAGCAGTAGGGCCACCCTACCTGCACGTAAACAGGTATGTGTGTGCTTGTGCTTGAGTCCCACTGAAAGCTGACAAATTTATTAGACCTGAATATAAACTCACGAACTCAATTATCTTTACCATTACATGTTACAACTCGTGCAAATAAATCCTTGCAACTTATGAACAACACTCTCAATACATAAATAAGTAAATGAAGCAAACTGTTCTGAAAATTAGAATMTAGAATCTAAAAATAAGAACAACATTCCAAAAACATTTAGAGTGCATGCACTAAACCCGTGAATAATATTTAGTACTAATTAGTAGTAATTCATACAGAATCCTTCGTTTCCTATTGCTTGATTATCACTATTTAGTACTAAAAATTAGTATTTGTTTCACGGGTTTAGTGCGAGCACTCTATTGTGAGTAAACAGTGGAAAAGAACGCCTTCTTAAAGATTAGAAAAAAGTAAAACAAGCAAATGATTATAACAGCATTTTTAACGGTTACTCAAAAATAGATATCGCATGCAAAGTGCGGGATCGAAATGCAGACAAACCTTGCAAAAGACTTTGATTCACATGAAAAAGACAGAGAATATCGTCGGAAAACCATAGTTCTTCCATGAATTAGAAACAAAACTATAAAACATTGTTGCAGCATGTGCGCATGTGCACTGGGCTTGGCTTGTCCGCATTTCGATCCCATGATGCACAACTGTGACGTCGTCCGCGGAATTGAAGACGCTATTCCCAACACAAATGAAACTGAGTTTGAATACAATCTATAAATCTTAACTATAACAAATATTCTTGATACGAATTTTTCTTTCGCTTTTATCCTTTTTTGTATCTTAAAATGTTAAAAATATTAGATTTTTAAAAATACTGATCTAAAGCACAATATATCGAATCGTTACGAAATCTTAATTCTATTTCGGCCATTTACGCGACTCAACTTTTGTTTGAATTTTGAGCGTAAATCATCTAAACATTGAAAATTATCTAGAAGTCCAAACTATTCGTAAGTCACCAAGAAATGATGCTTTTAGTTTAAGCAATTTTCTTTTTATGTTAAGTTAATGCCGCCATTGTGGAGGTAYGTTTCCTTGGTTAATACCTCCAAGATGGCCACCATGCCAGGGCTTATGGCTTTTTCATTTGAATCTCTTTAGAATGTTTGCAAACCATGAATTCACTTACACTTACACAATCACTTTCATGGCAAGAAAAGAGCATTACGTTTGCAGTGATGTTTTCCGTCTTTTTCTAAGCGCTTACAGCTTTATTATTATAGTATTAAAATAAGCTTCTTCCTTCAACAGACAGAATTTCTTTTACGTAATGTTAAAAAGAATTCTTCATTAATAAAAGGAATCGAAAACTAATGGAAAACTAATAAAGCCTTAAAGAGGCTTAATCATCAACACCTTCATACATTTTGGACAATTTGTCGAATTTTGATCCCCATTGTTTTAGGAATTCGAACTCTTGTTCGTGTTCATCGTCCTCGTCTTCATCTTCTATCTCGCTCAAGTCGTCGACGTCTGAGTCATCTCCCTCGTATCGATAGATGTGGAGCTCGTCTACGGCCAGGTATACCTGAAGAGGRCAGGGTGTTGGTCAAAKACTGGTGCGAGTGTGGTACATTCTTACTATTTATGATGCCATAATGATCTTTATGCATTACATGCATGATCATCATCATCATCACCAACAGCAGCATCATCATCATAATAACCACAAATAGCATTATCATCACCAGCAAAACATTATCAACATCACCAGCATCTTCACCATTCATCACCACCACCAGCGTCATCATCACCATTATCATCATCGTCAACGTCACCATCACTATCATGGCATTAACATAATCACCACCAGCATTATCATCATCACCACCACCATCTTCAACATCATCATCACCACCAGCATCGTCATCACCACCACGATCATCAACATCATCACCAACATCATCATTGTCACCACCACCATTAACAACACCATCATCAATATTATCCAACTCAATCGTGCAACTAACTTATCATCAGCATCATCATCGTTATTGTCACCGTCATCTTCAAACCCCATCATAAATCACGTCAACAGGATTATCTTCAGCATCATCTTCAACATCAAAACTCATCACCAAACCGAATCATATTAGCAGCAATAGCTTCATTATCATTATCATATTCTAATAGTTTTTATTAGGTTTTCTTACCTCTCTGTTGGTAATAGTGACCCTTGTAGTAATAAAGTCACCAATATCATCACCCTCCACATACTTCGGTATCTTGGGCCCTGGTCTGCCCATCAATCCAAAAGCAGGACCACTAGATGCAGGAGGTGCTGCTCCCTGCAGCAACGGGGCACTCTCCGGCACATCCACATCTCCTTCAGTGATACGAGAATCTGGGTGCCGGGGTGGGATGGTAGTTTCGATGTAAGTGTATTTCATGAGTTTCGTGATGTCAAAGCCGAGGTTGTCTTCTTCCCCGCCGCCTTCTTCGTGGTAGAGTCGTACATTATCATGCACGTGTCCTTCCTCGTGGTCTGTGACGGGGACAGGAGCGATAACAGGACGTCGCTTGATCAATACAGCAGCTATGATGACTAGTACTGCTACAAGCACCACCAGGATCATTGCAACAACTGCTGGGTTCATCCATCGACTACCGGGACGAGTGCCTGTATTACAAGAAGGACAACAACAATGAGAAAATGCCAATGGAAGTTTCAGAAAAAAATGTATTAGTTAAGAAATCTAGTTTTTGCGATTCTTAGTGATTTATCAATGAGTTGGACTACTCGCAAGCAAGCAATATAAGTGTGAGCCAAAAGGTACCTTTCGACACCTTCCACGACGCAAGTGCCCAAAAACATTGTGCATGGCGTTACATAGTAGGATTATGTTGTGTG